AAAAAAAAAAAAAAAAAAAAAAAGAGGGCGGGCATAGTGGTGCATGCCTGTAATCTCAGCACTCAGGAGGCTGAGGCAGGAAGATCACCATGAATTTGAGGCCAGCCTGGGCCACATAGTGAGTTCAAGGCCAGCCTGAACTACACAGTGAGAACCTGTCTCAAAAATAAACAACATAATCAAAACAAAACAGAATAGAACAACAAAAAAGCAAGAGATACAACTGTTCAAGGTGGTGGTACATTCCTATAATCCCAGCCCTCATGGGGCTAAGGCAGGAGGATCACCATGAGTCCAAGATTAGCGTGAATTACATAGGGAGACCTTGACTCAAAAAAAAAAAAGAAACAAACACCTTCACAGATGACAAGGCTGGTTACAGATAAGGTATGATGAAATTATAGGCCGAGGATTACACTTTTTAAAATGTATTCTCCTCTAGAATGCTCCTCCTTGCTTCCAGTACACTTACCCCAGCATTCTTGCTGCTTTCTGAAGCAGTTCTGGAAGTCCTCTTTCCTGTCTTTATAGGTATCAGAAAAAATACAGTGACTGCCACTCTGGGTGCCATCCAATGGGAAGGCAGGCTCATGCAGACACTACCCTCTACCCTCACCCACTGCATTCACTGGATCTGGCACCATGGAACTTCTGGCTCTTACCCAAAGTCAAAATCACGCATGGTCGGCCTTTTTAGGTCCATGCAGGGCACGGAGGCAGCTACGACAGCACAGGGAAAGATACTCATGAAAGAGGACTTCCAGAACTGCTTCAGAAGGCTTGAGGGTGGTGGGATAAGTCTCCTTTTCCTGCCTCTGTCCTTCAGCCTGACCACCACCTGACATACCATGTACTTTATCTTGCTCATGCCCATCTCCCCTGACTAGAAGATAAGGCAGAAGATAAGGGCAGGACTTTGATTTTTTTTTTAAATCTGTTTTGTTCATGGCTACATTCCCAGTACCAAGAAGGCGCCTGGGCACAGACTAGGTGTCAACATTCAGGTTTTGAAGGAATGAATCGGGGCAATCATGAGAGAGAGAAGGGGGCGGGGGGGGGGCGGGCACTTAGCTCTCCTGAGAAGCTGGTGACAGGTAAATCAACACACAAGCCACCGCCCCACTCACCTCATGCGCGTAGGCCTTCCCAATACCGCTGGTGGCTCCTGTCACCACTAGGAGAGAGAAGGAGGAGGGCAGGCAGGGCAGCTTCCTTCCCCGCGGGCCCTGCCTGGGTCCCCTGTCCCAGCCTCAGCCTATCCCAGGTCCCCGCTGGTGTGGGTGCCTCTGCTCCCGGCAGAGCCCCTCTGCTGGGGCTCATTGCTCTCGCTGTCCGCTGGTATCTGCACACAGCCCTTCCAGACAGGCCTCAGTCTCCCCTCGGTGGTCCTGACTCAGCCTCCCCAGTGGGTGGGCTCCCAGGCTCCCCACATGAAAGCAGCGTTGCACACACGCGACCAGAGGCGCCCTCCCCCTTGTCCTGTCCGTCACCTGGCACCTCTGCCACCTGCTCCTCTCACCTGTAGCTTTGGACACTTTGTGCCTCCCCTCCCCTGGTCGCACCAGCCTTTTCCTCTCACGTCCACTAGTCCCTTGGCCGGTGTCCTGGTGGGGGAGGTTCTCACGGGTCGCTTGTCACCCGTACTCGACCCTGCAGCCCCCACCCGCATCGCCTCGGGCGGACTCCGCGCCCCTTACCTGCCCAGGCTCCCTGCGCCCGGAGCCAAGAATTGCCCCGGCGGACCTGGGGCAGCAGGTACACGTACACTGCGCGGGCCACTCCCCAAGTGCCCCGCAGCAGCAGCCAGGCGGCCGTGAGGGCCCCCAGCGCGTTCAGCAAGTCCCACCTGGACTCCATCGCAGCTCTGGCCCTGCAGCCTCCGACCCTTTGGGTAAGGGACTCGGGCTGCCGCAGGCCAGCGAGTGCTAATTCACTGGGTCTCCCGGAGCCCCGGCAGCCGGCCACGCCCCCAGTCCCGCCCCCGCCGAGGCCTAAGGTTGGCCAGGTCCCCCAGCCCTAGCTCCGCCCCCTGCGTCTGGGAGTTTCCTTGGGTTTCTGGAGCCCTTTGCCCCTGTCCCAGAATCCGCCTATCTGCTGTGGGCTCCTGACTTACTGTTTTTATTTGCTTTGGGATTTGAGACAGGATCTCGCTGTGTAGTTCAGGCTGGCTGTCGTAGTTACTTATTTCTGAGACAAAATACCCAACACCCAAAGTTAAGGGAGGAAAGGTTTATTTAGCTCACACTTGGTAGAGGTTTCAGCCCATAGCCGGCTGGCTCCAGGGCAGGTGGCATGGCAGAGGGGCGTCACAGAGAAGAAAATAGTCCATAGCAGGTGAAAGACAGCAAAAGACACGCGGCAGCAGCAATAAGCAACAGATGACAAGTGCCCTCTTTCTGTCCCTTATATTTTATCCACGCTACCTGCCCTTAGGGCAGATAGCCCTCACACCCAATGTGGGACACCCTTAATCCTACCCGGAACTATACAAACCAATCAGAGGACTGATTTAGTACTCACACACTTGATCCAAGCATCACATGTTCCAAATCCAGCCACCTCTGAAAAGCCCCACCTATGACTGCATGAGGCTTTAGGGGGACATCTAGAGACAAAACATAACACTGGCCTTGAACTCACTGTGCAGCCCAGGCTGGCCTCAAACTCATGGCAATCCTCCTGCCTCAGCCTCCCACGATGTCAACCCTCCTTGGGATTACAAGTGCACCTGTAACCATGTAACCATACCCAGACGGATCTTCCCTTTCTTATACCACCCTTAGGAGTGGCCTTTGAATCATGAAAGCCGCCCCTCTGCACCCACTTTGGGGATACCTCTTGTGCCCATAGTAAAAATTTATTCTGAGGTCCTGAAAGTTACTTTGGGTCTTTCCATGGGAAGGTTTATTAGATTGAGCTGGTAGTGGAGTGAAAAGATCCTACCTGTCTATGGTCAGAGCCTTTGAGTCAGAAAGCCTTCCATATCTGAAAAGATTTGAGAGAGTTCTCATCCTAAACAACAGTCTCTGGTACAATGGGAAGATTGTATAGGAAGAACACACACCATGCAAAGGGAAAGAGAAAGGTGTGATGATACATACCTATAATCCCAGCTAGTCAGGAGGCTGCGGCAGGAGGATTACAAGTTAAAGTCCACCCGGGGCAATTTAGTAATGTCCTACTTGAAAATAATTTTTTTTTTCTTTTGTACTGGGAATTGATCTCATGACCTCAGGCTTGCCAGGCAAGTGCTTATGCCACTGAGCTACATCCCTGGTCCCAAAATAAAAATTTAAAAGGCTGAGAATCTAGTTCAATACTCCCTGTGTTCAACCCCTAGTACTGCAAAAATAAATTAAAAAATAAGAAAGAAGGTGAACCTGCAATCCAATTGCAGGAGGAGAGACAAGCAACCCAGAAACTGGTTATGTTTATTTGGCAAGCTACTTTTAAAAGGAGCAACGCAATAACATTTTGGAGAATCAAAAGCCAGGAGATTTTGATAACAAAAGGGTACTTCTGGGAATATGGCGGGGTAGTGGCAGCAAAAAAGAGCCTCTCTGAGATTTGGTGTCCAGATGTTGGAAAATAGCAAAATGAGGAAGAAAAAAGGGGGGAAGTGAGTCCATGGGACCCAGCAAGGATCTGAAATGATAACTGAAGCTCACAGGGAGAGCAAAGAGAAAGACCTCAGTGAAGAAGAACAGGAAGCAGGGCTGGGGATTTAGCTCAGTGGCACAGCACCTGCCCAGTAAGCGCAAGGTTGTGAGTTCGATTCCCAGTACAGGGTGGAGGGGGGACAGGAAACAAGTGGTGTTTTCTCCCTGAGCCTTGACTCACTGTGGGAGGGGTGACTCAAACCTGCAGAAGTACAGTGACTATGGGGACCCCAGAGGGCTGCATGGTGAAACACACCAGTGGAACGGAGCAGTGGATGCAGAAAACTGCAGTGGCTGGTGAGTTATTTGGGTTTGGATGTCCCCCAGGAGAGGGCGACTGGCTGGTTGCCATTTTGGAGAGAGGACAACTGAGCTCAGAACTCAGAGCAGCTGAGGGCTGGCTCCATCTAGCGGCTCCCAGTGTCAGGGTGAGGTGGAACCCAGTTGAAGTCAGTAGGAGGTCAAGGAGCAGAGTTCAGGCCAGCTTCAGGAGGCACATGGAGTGTTGCAGGCTGAACAAATCCAGTTCCAGTCTCATAGCCAGAAACCAGCCTGAATTTTGGTGGAGCTAAAGGTGCAGGCTTGCTGGGATTATCCACTACCTCACTGTAAATCTACCAATGGCTTGCTGGGATTAATCGACATGGATCTGGACTCTCTTTGCCCACTTTATCTACCAGTGACAGCAGAGATGTGCCTTGAAGTGGACATTTTTTTGTTATATTATTCTTTTTTTTCTTTTCTTTTCTTGTTTTTTTCTTTCTTTTTTTTTTGAGATGGGGGGGTCTCACTATGTACTTTAAGCTGCCCTTGAACTCACTGTATAGTCCAGGCTGGCCTCAAAATCATGGCAGTCCTCCTATATCAGCCTCCCAAGTGCTGGGATTACAGGTGTGCACCACAACACCCAGCTTTTTAAAATTTGTTTGTTCTTGTTTTCATGAGTATAAATATTGTTTCTAGTTTTGTTGTTCTGTTCAGTTCTTGTTTTTATTTCTTTCCTTTCCTTTTTTATTTTTTTTGAGGCAGGGCCTCACCATGTAGTACAGACCAGCCTTGAAATCACTATGTAGCCCAGGCTGCCACTGAACTCATGGCAGTCCTCCTGCCTCAGCCTCCCAAGTGCTAGGGTTACAGGTATGTGCCACCACGCCCAGCTTTATTTCTTCCTTATCTCTTTCTCTTCTGTCTTCTTCACCAGCTTCTCAAAGTTTGCATAATCTCCTTTATCCTCTAGCCTTGCTTCTAATCTCTCCTTTTTCTCCTTCTTCTCTTCTTCTTCCTCCTCCTCTTCTTCTATTTCTCTATTTTTCCTCCTTAACCCTTTAAAAATTTTTCTCCCCTCAGGGTAAAATAACCACACTGAGGGCATTTTTACTGTATACAATTTTCTGGTTTGTTTTAGATTTTGATATATAACCACAAATCTAATTTGTAGGATTAAAAGTAGCACTTTAATACTTACCATAGTTTGTCATTTCCTAAGCTGTTGTCCTTGATCTCAGATTTTCTCTATAAAAATTCACAAGTGTCACTGTCATGGAAATTTTAAAAATTAATCAGTAGTCTGATATCACATTAGGACAAAATAAGATCATGCAGCCCGCCACATTACTCATCTGTTAGACTCATTCAGCCTTGACTAACTCTGACCCAACTCAGTCTGACCAAATTTAGCTACACACCCTGTGCTTTATAGCAACAAAAGATGACCAACACTATTACTCACTTACTTCAAGGACTTCTGCCCAGCAATGAGAGACAACTGATGCTACCCAATAAAAATTCACCACACTTTTAAGCCTTTGTATCTCCCGCTTACAAAACCTATATAAACTAAGCCCAAAGCTGGCTGTGGGCTGATGCTTTAGGAGCGATCACCCATCAGTCCGCCAGTGTAACGAAGTTGATTGCCTTCCAACTCCTTGGTGCAGAGCATTTTCCACTCAGTTCAGTACCAGTTCCACATTACCTGTTAACATTCCACAGGAGCCAGACATGGTGGTTCATGCCTATAATCCCAGCACTTGGAAGGCTGAGGCAGGATTGCTGTGAGTTTGAAGCCACCCTAGACTACATAAGTGAGTTTGAAGCCAGCCTGCATTACATAGGGAGGCCTTGTCTGAATAAATAAATAAATATTCCATAAGAGTTCAACTTCTAAGACAATCATAACTGATAAAATAAAATAACAGTTACCTGATTCAGCCTCTCAATGTGGCCGCTGATTCAGCCTGTGTTATGGACACTCTACAAGTGATTCAAACTACCTTTATACGTAATAAAAATGGCGAGATGTTCTTTCATATGTTCCCTAGCCCTGCAGAGAAGGGCAATGCTGATTTCCTTACACACTTTCCTCCAACTCTGACATCCCTCACCACCCCACAAGACAAGCCATTGTAGAACAAGCAGTGAGCACCTCAAAACCCAATCCATAAAACAAGAAAAGGGAGACTCTGGGCCAACACTGATTTAACTGAAGAAGACTTTAAATTTTTAAAACTGTGGTTCACAAGGTTTCACCACAGTAAAGAGAAACAGCTATTCACTCAGCTGAAGAGACACTGCCAAGCACAAGAATTCTCTTCACTTCTAAAAACCTGTTTCTCGCTGGGGATGTAGCTCAGTGGCACAGTACCTGCTTGGCAAGCACAAGGTCCTGACTTCGATTCCTGGTACCAACCCCCCACACACACCTGTTTCTTACAAAGATCATGCAAGTCTCTTGCAACTCCAAAATTACAAAGGTAAAAGGGCGCCTTATCTTTCTGAGTTTGCTGACGTATATACCTCAAGTAACTGGCATGGTTTATTGGGCTCATGTTCTTACCTCCATGTTCTTTGACATATTATATGGGGAGATCCAGAACCACCTCTTTCTTCTAATGACAACTCATACACAGATGAAACCTAACTGCCACCTCCCAGCCCCTTCAGGGACTGTGGAGGGACTATAGCCACTCTGGCTATTCCAATGGTTGGCCTGTTACCCCACACATGGTGTTTCCTGGCAAAAGGATTTCCATTATATACGATCACCAATATCACTGATAGTAGTTATTGAATTCCTTTCCAGCACCAATGGTATACAAGTAATTTTTAATATCTCAGAGTTAAACATTATACGTATTATGGTACTCAGACAATAAACCAAAGCTTGGTTCTCCATCAGTCTCATAAGAAAATGGATAAAATATTCATCCCTTGAACAAATTACCTCAATACTTAAACTAGCCAGGTGTGGTGGCACACGCCTGTAATCCCAGCACTCGGGAGGAGGATTGTTGCGAGTTCGAGACCAGCCTGGGCTACAAAGTGAG